TTATCTCTTTGCTTAACTAAGCACCTCTCTACAACATCAACAATTATCTTGCCATGTAAATATGAATTGAGGCTGAGCCCCGAAGTGAGAAAGCTGTTATTCAAATACACCTGTAGAAATCCAAACATACTGTTTTATATTCACTTATTGACACATAGTAAGACCATTATACATCCAAAGAGGGGAATGAACAAATTGATTGATTAATAACAGACACATGTCACCTTAATAAATGGATTTGCTGACATTTTACCTAATTGTGGACTTTTGCCTAAATAAAGCACTACATTCAACTATTTACAATTTAAATGTCAATTCCTGGCATTCATGATTGTGATAGTTGATTTTATGTGTAAGGCTGACAAGGGGAGAGGCAGCCTAGACATCTGGTGAAGGATTATTCTAGGTGTGTCTGTGAGAGTGTTTCTGGGTGCATTTAACACCTGCATCTGGGTTCTGAGCAAAGCAGACTGCCCTCCCTAATGCAGGTGGGCCTCATCCAATCAGTTGAAGGCTGAATACAACAAAAAGGCGGTAATTCCCCTTGTCTGACCGCTTCTGAGCTCAGACATTGTTTTTTTGTCGTTGTTTTTCTTTTTGTTTTCCTGGCCTTCATACACAAATTGAATTATCAGCTCTTCCTGGGTTTTGAGCCTGCTGCCTTCACAACTGGAACTGCATCAGCACAGGCTCTTCTGGTCTCCACTTTGCCAACCACAAGTCTTGGGACTTGTCAGCCTCCATAATCATGTGGGCCAATTCTTTATAATGAGTCTCTTTGTATGTGTACATACACATACCCTATGGGTTCTGTTTCTGTGGAGAACCCTAATACAATAATTTTCCCACAGTTGAATATCCATCTATCTTGGAACCTTCTCTATTACTACTCTTTTTCTAAATAAATGCTCTATTATAATCAACATATTATATTAGATTGGTGCAAAAGTAATTGTGTTTTTTGCCATTGTCAAAAGCCACAATTACTTTTGCACCAACCTAATACCTTATCACTATCTATTAAACACTTGAAAGTCCCTCCTACAAACTGTCATTAGTACTGTCTTTTGTGCCTAGTATCCCATCCCACATGTCTCTCCTCAGAGAGGGATTTTACCTTCTTTCTGGAAAGCCCAGCTCAAGGCTTGCTTTCTCAAAGGCCCCAATCACCTAGCCTATATTGCAACTATCATCTGTATCACTGACTTGATTCCTATGGTAAGTAATGGTTGTAACATGTCATCTGGTTATAACACCGATGAGAAAAATTCAGAAATTCCCAGCCAGCACCACCATCTGTGTGAAGTGTGCATATTCTCACCACATCTGTGAGGGTTTTCTCCAGGTACCTTGGTTTCCTAACACATCCCAAAGATGTACATGACAGGTTAACGGGCTTCTCCCAAGTGTCTCAGTGTGAGTGAGTGTGGGGTTATGTGAGTGCACTCTGCAATGGAAGGGCATCCTGTCCAGGGCTGGTTCAGCCAGCTCTCCTGAGCTGCCAATATAGGCTCTGACTGCCTGTGACACTACGCAGGATAAGCAGGTTGGAAAATGAATGAATACAAATCATAAAAATTCATAAAATATACAATAATCATATAAATACACGATAAATAATGCTGTTCAGTCAGGCACAGTGGCTCACACCTGTAATCCCAGCAGTTTGGGAGGGTCAAAGTAGGCAAATCACTTGAGACCAGGAGTTTGAGACCAGCCTGACCAACATGGCAAAATCCTGTCTCTATTAAAAATACAAAAATTAGCCAAGTGTGGTGGCACATGGCTGTAATCCCAGCTACACAGGAGGCTGAGGGAGGCATGAGAATCACTTAAACCCAGGAGGTGGAGGCTGCAGTGAGCTGAGACTGTGCCACTGCACTTCAGCCTGGGTGACACAGTGAGACTGTCTCAAAAAACATTTTTAAAAAGTTGTACAAAAGTACTTGGGTGCTGCCATATTTGTAATTTTTTCACTATATGAATATTCTTTCTGTATTTAAAATATTTAATGATTTTTTTCTATTAGTTCACAAACATCTTCATGAGGAATAAAGACTTTTAATAGTGTCATGTTTTAATTTTTAAAACATTGATATAAAAATTTCACATATTTGTGGAGTACGTGTTATATTTTGATACATGTATACAATGCATAATAATCAAATCAGGGTACTGGGCCTTCCACTGCCTCAAACACTTCCCATTTCTTTGTGCTGAGAACATTCTAAATCTTCTCTTGCTGCTATTTTGAAAGATACAATAAATGATTGATAACTATAGTTATCCTACTATGCTATTAAAGACTAGAACTTATTCCTTCAAGTTAACAGTATTTTTGTACCAATTAACCAACCTCTCTCCATCCCTCCAACTCCTTACCCTTACCACCATTCTACTCTCTACCTCCAAGAGATCAACTTTTTTAGCTCCAACATGTGTAGAACCTGTAATATTTGTAATTCTGTGCCTGCCTTATTTAACATAATGTCCTCCAGGCTCATTCATGTTGCTTCAAATGACAAAACTCCATTTTTTAATGGCAGAATAATATTCTTTCGTGTATATACACTGTATTTTATTTTATCGATTCATCCACTGATGGACATTGGGTTAACTCCATATCTTCACTACTGTAAACAGAACTCAATAAATATGAGAGTGCAGATCTCTCTTCAACATACTTATTTCCTTTCTTTTCAAACATACCCAAATACCCAGCAGTGGGATTGCTGGATTATACAATAGTTCTATTTTTAATTTTTGAGGAACTTCTATATTCCTTTTCATAATGGCTGTACTAATTTATGTTCCCACCAACACTGGCATGAGAGTTCTCCTTTCTCTGCATCCTTGCCAGTATTTGTTACATTTTCCATTGGGTAATAGCCACATTAACTGTGATGAAAAGATATCTCATTGTGGTTTTGATATGCACTTCTCTAACAATTAGTGATGTTGAGCCGTTTTTCATATGCCATTTGTATGTCTGCTTTTGAGAAATGTCCATAAGGTCAGTGGCCCATTTTTTAAATCAGATTTTTGTAACTGTTGTTGAGTTGTTTGAGTTCCTTATATATTCTATATTATATTCCTAATATATAATATTCCTATTATATATTCCATATATATATATATATATATATATATATATATATTAATCCCTCCTTATCTGATGGATTGCAAATAATTTCTCCCATTCCTTAGGTTGGATCTTCACTTTCTTGATTGACTCGTTTGCTATGCAGTTTTTTTAAAAACCCAAATTGTCTATTTTTGCATTGGTTCCCTGTGCTTTTGACATTTTGCCCAAAAAATATTTGCCCAGACCAATGATGTACCAAAGCAATTATCCTGCATTTTCTTTTAGTAGTTTCATAGCTTCAGTCTTAGATTTAAGTTTTTACACCATTTTGATTTGAGTTTTATACATGGTGGTGGGGGTCTAGTTTCATTATTCTACATGCAAGGATCCAGTTTTCTTAGCACTTGTATGCTCTTGAAGCCTTTACCAAAAATGAGTTGACTATAAATACATAGATTTACTACTGGGTTCTCTTCTGTTCCACTGGTCTGTGTGTCTGTTTTTATGCAGCACCATGCTGTTTTGCTTACTATAGCTCTGTAGTATATTTTCAAATCAGGTAGTATGATCCCTTTAGCCTTGTTCTTTTTTGTAAAATTGCTTTGTCTCTTCAGGGTTTCCTGTGGTTCCATATGACTATCAAGATTGTTTTTCAATTTCTGTGAAGAAAGTCATTTGTATTTTGATAGGGACTGCAATGAATCTGTGGATTGCTTCAGGTAGTACAGCCATTTTAAGAATGTTATTTAATAATTCTTCTATCTGTACACATTTAGTATCTTTTCATTTTTTGGTGTTTTCAATTCCTTTCATCCGTGTTTTGGAGGTTTCATTGTAGAAAACTTTCACTGATTTAAATTTATTCCTAGGAATTTTATTTTTTTGATAACCACTGTAAATCCAATAGGTTTCTTGATTTCATTTTCAAATTGTTTGCTGTTTATGTATAGAAATGCTACTGACTTTTGTTATGTTGATATTGTACCCTGCATCATTACTGAAATTGATTACAAGATCAAATAGCTTTTTATAGTTCTTTAGGTATTTCTAAATATAAGATCATGTCATCTGCAAACAAGGACAATTTGACTTCTGCCTTTCCAATTTTGGAGACTTTTATTTTTTTCTCTAGCTTGATTTCTCTGGCCATGACTTCCATTACTATGTTGAATAAAAGTGGTGAATATGGACATCCTTGTCTTGTTCCAGATTTTAGAGGAAAAGTTTCACATTATTCCCTGTTCTGTATGATGTTAGCTATATGTCATATATTGCCTTTATCATTTTGAGGTATGTCTCCGTTTGTTGAGAGACTTTATCATAAGGGGATATTAAATTTTATCAAAAGCTTTTTTCTGCACCTACAGATGGACATGATCATATGACTTTTGTCCTTTTTACCATTGATGTGGCATATTACATTCATTGATTTGTGTATGTTGAACCATTCTTGCATCCCTGGGATAAAAATCTCACTTGATCATGGTGTATCTTTTTTTTTTTTAAGAAAGAAAGAGAAAAAAGAAAAAAAAAAAAGTAAATGGATAATTTCAAACATGCTTTACCTACCAAGAAAACAAAAGCTTTAGTCTCTTCACTAGCAAACCCTTCTACAAAACCTTGAAGAGAACTGAACACAACAGACTAAGCAATAACAAACTTTCTGAAAATACTACATAGAAAAAAAACCTTCAGAAATCCAGAGAAAACAAGAAATACTGGAATTAGAAAAATCATATTTGAGAGCCATGTGACAGATCAGGCAGCCCACCCCACAAAGATCCCTCCAGCAAGCAAAGAACAAAAAAACCTCTCACTTGACATGTTCTCAAAACAATCTGCCTGCTAAATGAGCTACCAACCACCCCCTTGCACAACAAAAACACTGTTCTTAGTACATAACAATAAAATGGGGAGCACTCAGACTGCATCCCCTCCATCTTACTCTCCCAAAGGAAGACAAGGACAATCATCAATGGTACATGGAAATTGCAGCAAAAGCAACACCAAGAGTCAGCGTCACGCTCAGAAGAGAACGCTGTACCTCCTCCTTATGGTTTCTAGTGCTCTACCTGTTCAGAGAAACTTCTCTAGTAATGAACTATAGAAATGATCCCTGAAATATGGTCTTTGTAACTTTTTACTGTACTGCTGGATTTACTATGTTAATATTTTGTTGGGGATTTTTACACTTACGTTCATGATGATGATGCTTGTAGTTTTCTTATTTGTCACATCCTTGTCTGGTTTTGTTATCAGGGTTATGCTTGCCTATTACAATGAGTTAGGAAGAATTCTCTCCTTTTCAAATTTTTGGAATAATTTTAGAAGAATCGGTCTCAGTTCTAATTTATAAATTTGATAGAATTCAGCAGCAAAGCCATCTGATCCTGGGCTTTTCTTTGTTGGAAGGTTTTTCATTACTGATTCAATCTCATTACTAATTTTTGGTCTGTTCAGGTTTTCTACTTCTTCTTGGTTCAACCTTCGGAGATTGTGTGTCCACGAATCTGTTGTTGTTTGGTTGTTTCTAATAGTCTATAATGATTCTTTCTATGTCTGTGGTATCAGTTGTAATGTCTCTTTTGGGTTTTTTCTGTTTTTCTCTTGGTCTAACTAAAGGTTTATCTATTTTATCTTTTCTGAAAACCAACTGTTCATTTTGTTTTCTATTTTTGTCTCCATTTCATTTAGTTCTGCTCTGATATTTATTATTTCTTTCCTTCTACTAATTTTGCATATGGTTTGTTCTTGCTTTTCTTAGTTTCTTGAGGTGTATCATTAGGTTATTTGGAATCTTTCTACTTCTTGATGTACGTATTTATGACTATAAACGTCCCTTGTAGTGCTGCTTTTGCTGAATCCCATATGTTTTGGTATATTGCCTTTCCATTTTCATTTGTTTCAATTTTTTTAAATTTCCTTCTTCATTTCTTCACTAACTCAATGATCATTCAAAAGTGTATTACATAATTTTCATATATTTTTCCCAGTTCCAACATTTCTCTTGTTACTGATTTCTAGTTTTATGCCATTGTGTTCTGATATGATACTTGAAATGATTTTGACTTTTTTATATTTATTGAAATATGTTTCATTGCCTAACATGTGGTGTAACCTGAAGAAAATCCCATGTGCTGATGAGGTATATTCTGCAGTTGTCAGATGAAAGGTTCTGTAATGTTTGCCAGGTCCATGTGGTTTGTAGAGTAGTTAAGTCCAGTATTTTTTTGCTGATTTTCTGTCTAGGTTATCTATCTAATGCTGCAGGCAAGTTTGGTGTTAAAATCCCCAACTACTATTGTAACGAAGTCTATATCTTCCAGTAGCGCTAGTGATATTTGCTTTATATATCCGATGCACCAGTATTGGGGTGTGTATGTGTATGTAATTTATATCCTCTTGCTGAATTGATCCTTTTATAATTATGTAGTGACCTTGTCTCTTTTTATGTTTTTTGACTTAAAGTTGTAGTTTGTCTGATGTAAGTGTAGCAACTACTGCAGAGTTTTGGTTTCTTCTTGCATAAATTTTTTTTTTCTCATCTCTTCACTTTCAGTCTAATGTGTCTTTATAGGTGAGTTCAGTTTCTTGTAGTCAGGATATGGTTGGGTCTTGTTATTATTATTTTTTTTACCCATTCAGTGAGCCCATATCTTTTAATTGGGACTGTTTATATGCAAGGTTGTTATTAATAGGTGAGAACTTACACTTGTCATTTTCTTCATTGTTTTTTGTTTTGTAAATCCTTTTTTCACTTTTTTCCTCTCTGATCTTTGAGATTTGGTAGCTTTATGTAGTAATAACATTTTATTCCTTTCTGTTTCTCATTTACGTATCTTCTCTTTCAGTAAATTTTATATTGTAATGTGTTTTCATGGTGATGGATAGCATCCTTTTACTTCTAGGTGTAGCTCTCTTAAGCATTTATCTTATAGTCAGTCTGGTGGTGACAAATTCCATCAGTTTTTGTTTGTCTGGGAAAGACTTTGTATCTCCTTACATTCTGAAGGACAGCTTTGGTGAATATAGTATTCTTGGCCAGGAGTTTTTTTTTTTTATCTTTCTTTAAGTACTTTGAATGTATCATTAAATACATGGTTTCTGCAGAGATCTGCTGTAATTTCCTTACATGTGACTTGACAATTTTCTCTATTGTTTAAAATTCTCTCTCTAACTTTTGACAGTTTAACTATAATGTGCCTCAAAGAGACTTCTGAGTTAAGTACATTCAGAGATCTTTAAGCTTCATATACTTGGATGTCTGTATCTCTTAAGATTTAAGAAACTTTTATTTATTATTCCAGATTTAATTGGTTTTTCTATGCTTTTTTCTATCCTCCTTCTGGCATTCACAATATTTGAATGTTTGTTTACTTGATGGTGTCCTATATGCCATTTAGGGTTTCTTTTTAAAATTGTTTTTTTCATTCATTTATATCTGACTGGGTTATTTCAAAAGAGCTACCTTTGAGTTTAGTAATTCTTTCTTCTACTTGATCTAATCCATTGCTGAAGGTCTCAACTGTATTTCTGTTTTATTCATTAAATTCTTCAGTGCCAGAAATCCTTTGTTATTATATGTCATTAATTATTTTTTAATTGTGAGGTGGTAGGATGGTAGGAGATGCTCATAATAACTTTTGTTTTGTAAATATGTATTGTTAACCCACCACCACTACTAACATTAACAAAGAGTCTATCCTTGGAGAAAAAAAACAACTTTTAAAAAGGCAGCATAAGGCTGGGGGCAGTGGCTCACAACTGTAATTCCAGCACTTTGGGAGGCCGAGGTGAGCAGATCATGAGGTCAGGAGATTGGGACCATCCCGACTAACACAGTGAAATCTGGTCTCTATTAAAAATACAGACAATTAGCCAGTCATGGTGACTCGCGTCTGTGGTCCCAGCTACTCAGGAGGCTAAGGCAGGAGAATCGCCAGAACCTGGGAGACAGAGGTTGCAGTGAGCTGAGATCATGCCACCTCACTCCAGTCTGGGTGACAGAGCAAGACTCTGTCTCAAAAAAAAGGAAAAGAAAAAAAGGGCAGCAAGAAGGAAGAAGGCACTTCTCTGTCTTGGTGATCAGTGTAGACTGTTTACATGTAAACCTCCTCCGTTTAAGCCTCAAGGGCAGAAGACTAAGAAATTCATCTTCATAAATCAGTGCAAATCAGCATTGTCCTCCTTTTGGGAAGAGCTCCTGAATCATAAAAACAATCCAGGTGAAACTTTCAACCCTACAATATTTTGGATGAATACTGAATAATTTTTATATTCTTATTGTTAATACTTGTAAGTAGTTATCACTCAAAAAATACTATCATTGAAACTATTTAGTATACAGCAATCTATATGTTACATTATCCAAAGTAAGTCAACATAGTCTCTTCTGATTAAAAGAATATAATCTAAAATAAACTAGCTACAATGAAGGACCCAGGAGAATCAAACCTCAGAAAATGATTCTTCCCACCGCAAAAATGAAAAGGCATTGATGCATTTTGCATGACAGTTAGTATTAGAATAGATGCAAAGAGTAAATGATCAGAAAACATCAGGAGTGGCCAGGGTGTCATGGCTCACATCTGTAATCCCAGCACTTTAGGAGGCCTAGGCAGGTGAATCGCATGAGGCCAGGAGTTCAAGATCAGCCTAGACAACATGGTAAAACTCTGTCTCTACTAAAAATACAAAAATTAGCCAGGCAAGGTGGTGCAGGCCTATAATCCCAGCTACTCAGGAAGCTGAGGCACAAGAATCACTTGAACTTGGGAGGCAGAGGTTGCAGTGAGCTGAGATAGTGCTACTACATTCCAGCCTGAGCAATAGAGCGAGACTCTCTCTCAAATAAAAAATTAAAAATTAAAAAATAAAGAAAATGTAAGGAAAAAACATTATCCTGAGAAAAGAGAAAGCTTTGAAGAGCTTCACAAAAGAGAGAGCAAAGGTGAGGCCCATGAGAGGTGAAGTGAGGAGTATGAGAGCAGATCATGGCCAGTGAATAATATAGGAATCGTTTTCCTACTCTGCATACTTACAGAAAGTGTGTGGAAGTAAATGAATTCAACATGAAAAATGTTATTCAAAAGTTAAAAAAAAATGTTAATCAAGAAGAATTGAGTGGCTAGGCTAGGAAAATTGAAGTCAGTAAGGGAACAGGATGTTATCTAGCAGGATGAAGTGAAGAAATCCCATATGCATAGTGAGTAAGGAGATACAGAAGTCCTTCTTATTATGCTACATGTCCTGCTCAAGGAGTCATGGCTAAATTTTAATTCATGTTAAGAAATAAATATTAACATGTACTGTAAATAAAGCACTAGGTTAAGATGAACCAAGAGTGGTTTGGGGCTAATAATAACAATATGAAAGCAAGGTGAGTATAAATTTCAGCGGAACCCACAAGCCGCCGACACACTGCCATGGTTTGGTACAGTGATGCCATTTACTGGAAGTCATTTAATTTTTCCTGTTACTTTATTTGCAATTAGGAAATCAGGAAAAGTTAGCCACATCCATCAACACTGCTGCTCTCTCAGGCTTGTATCAGTGGTAATTAAGACAAACTTAATAGCCACAAAACAAATAAAGAATGAATTTTCAACTTGTCTATGATCAACCAGTAATAATTGACTATATATTAATAATAATGGGAAATATGTACCTAAATAAATGCACTATATTCTCTAACCTTAGCAATAGTTTTTTGCTCTGTAGGTGATTTTCCCCACTATTACAGTGAACTTGATCTCCAATCTGACATTTTCTGGGGCCTAAATCTGAAGTGTATAGAAAGACCTTAGAAATCAAACAGATATTGTACATGAATATTGATAAAACTATTCAAAATAACAAAAAGGTGGAAGCAGCCAAAATGCCCATCAACAGGAGAAAGAATAAACAAAAGGTGGTATATCCTACCAATGTAATATGACTCAGCCACCAAAAGCAAGGAAATTTTAATATATGCCACCAACATGAATCGATCTTGAAAATATCATGCTTGGTGAAGTAAGTCAGAAACACGTAGAAAACCATGGTATGATTCCACTTGTATGAGATATCTGGAATATGCAAATTCATAGAGAAAGAAAGCAGAACAAAAGTTGTCAGGGACTAGGTGGAGGG